TTTTTGGCATGGATGGAAGCGAACAAGATGTATCCTGAGGCGAGGAAACTGACATATGTTGAGGCACCGAAAATTTTTTTTTGGAACAAAACAGAAAGAGTGTGGACTCCTCGAATAAGGCCAGGTTGTATAGGTCGTTTGAGCTATGTTCCTCCCAATGCTGGTGATAATTATTATTTGAGGTGTTTGGTCAATGTTGTTCGTGGTGCTACTTTCCACGAGGATTATATGAAGGTAGAAGATGTTCAACACATGCCCTATCGCGATGCTTGCTATGCACGAGGTTTTTTGGGTGATGATCGAGAGTACATTGATGGAATTACTGAAGCAAGTCAGTGGGCATCTGCTGATTCTCTTAGGCGCATGTTCGCGTCTTTATTGGTTTCTGGATCCTTAGGTAAACCTGATGAAATTTGGGAACGGTGTTGGCAATTTCTATCTAACGACGTACTACACAAGCAACGTCGTCTTTTCGATAATGAAGGTATGAGATTTAATAGGTTTTATATTATGCATTTATCAAGTAGAAAAGTAATATTATTTTTAATTATTATTCACTTATTTTTATTCAACGTAAAAAAATAAAATCTAATATGTCGTTTATCATTATTTCAGATTTGAAGCTGAGTGATGCAGATATAAAAAATCCAGCTCTTGCAGAGATTGAGACGTTATTGAGACAGTGTGGCACAAGTCTTCGGTAATATTCTACTATGCCTTTTCCAGATATGGGTAATATTAATTCAAGTACGAATCATCTGGTTTTGGATGAACTTAACTACGACCGTAAGGCTTTAGCTATTGAGCATGATGCATTGCTGACACATATGACCGATGAACAGAGGGGTGTTTATTCCAAAATAATGACATCAATTCATTCCGGTAGGGGCGGCGTATTTTTTGTGTATGGTTATGGTGGAACTGGAAAGACATACTTGTGGAGGACTTTAGCTGCTCGGCTAAGATCGCACGGTCGAATTGTGCTTTGTGTTGCATCAAGTGGAATAGCATCTCTCCTGTTGTCGGGCGGACGAACTGCACATTCTCGATTTGGCATTCCTATTTCTGTGCATGAAAATTCATCGTGTGAGATCAAGAAGGCTAGCCCTCTTGCCGAGTTGATTATTCGCTCTTCATTGATCATATGGGATGAGGCCCCAATGATGCATAAGCATTGTTTTGAGGTTGTTCAAACATCTTTTAAGGCAGTAATGGGAGCACTCGCTCTGGAAAATCATCATAAACCGTTCGGAGGCAAGACTGTGTTTGGTGGAGACTTTCGACAAATCCTTCCGGTAGTTCCAAAGGGGAGTCGTCAAGAGATTGTTAATGCTGCTATTAACTCTTCTAGCATTTGGGGAGACTGTACTGTGCTTAGGCTTACAAAGAACATGCGTCTTTAGAGCATTGGCGATTCGAATGAACGTGACGAGCTAGCCGCTTTTGCTGATTGGATAGCGAGCATTGGAGATGGAACATTGGGGGGGTGACAAATGATGGATGTTCTCCGATAGACATACCATATGATCTATTACTAGAGTCATCCGATGATCCAATTGCAAAAATTGTTGAAAGCACGTATCTGATGTTCAAGAATGCACCCGATGATCCAAGTTACTTGAAGGACAGAGCTATACTTGCTCCAACACTCGAGATCGTAGAATCTATAAATGAATACATGTCGTCGTTGAATTTGACTGAGGGACGCACGTATTTAAGTTCAGACAGTACGTGTAAATCTGACTCCAATAACGACTTGTGGCCCAACTTCATACTCCTCAGTTATTGAATACTATCAAGTGTTCTGGAACACCGAACCATGAGTTGAATTTGAAGGTCGGAACTCCAGTTATGTTGTTGTGGAACATGGATCATTCAATGGGACTCTGCAATGGTACACGATTGGTTGTGACGAAACTCTCCAATCATGTTCTCGAGTGTAAAATTCTTACTGGCGATCATGCAGGTGATAAAGTTTTGATACCTCGGATGACAATAATTATTTCGGATGTTAGAGTACCATTCAAATTTCAAAGAAGGCAGTTCCCCATTATGGTTTCGTACGCAATGACTATAAACAAGAGTCAAGGTCAATCATTATCGCATGTTGGTTTATTCTTGAAGAAACCAGTTTTTAGTCATGGCCAGTTATATGTCGTCGTCTCCCGTGTTACTAACAGAAAGGGTCTAAAACTTTTAATTTGTGGAGAAGAAGGTTTGAAAGAAAATCAAACCAATAATGTTGTGTATAGAGAAGTGTTTAATAATATATGATTTTGTTTATATTTTGTATTTCTCTGTCCTCTTTTCCATTATAATCAAATTATTAATTTATTAAAAAATATTTAAAATAAAGTTTAAAAAAAAAAAGGTTTGAGGAAATAAGCCCGTCGTGCTGCGCACGTGTACCATACTAGTTTTATTATATAGTAATAGTAACTAATTATAAATATAAGAAAGCTACTTAATTATCAATAATTCTATTGATAAAATTCTTCTTCAAGCTATTTATCCTAAAACTAATATTATCTTTTTATCTTATTAAGCGATTTTTCTTTAAAATTAGCTAATTAATTTTAATGGTGTAACCCAAACCTCTTAAAATAACACCATCTCTGATGTGGGATATTATCCCTAAAGGACTAACCGACCCTTTCAATCGGCTTAACTAGTCAGAGCAAACCGTACGGGCAGACCCAATCAAATAGAGTCGAGAAAAATCACGAGAACCGCACATAGATGGCCCCGGAATGGGAGGAATAGATTGGGCCCAGATCCATGGAGGATCTGGTCGAGGATCGACCTGTTGAGTAGCTGTTCATTCGATCGACCACCTCACAACCGAGAATATTTCGAACATCGACCTAGAGACAGTCAAGTACAAGAGCCTTCGAGGAAAATATCAAAGGATCCTTATCCCATGTGCGGAGGATACGTGTCGTGACCCGATTGGTCCCCACTAAATAACCGTTTCTGACACACGCGTATTGTATGCGTACGGACGGGCATGGTGGACAACTTTTTGGGCATACAACTCAGCAAATCCAGGCAGCTCCTAGGACAGGTATTTCGCCCTATATATATGGTGAACTTTACTTCCTGGGCACGATTTTTATCTATTTTCTACTCCTGAGAATTGAACTGAACACACACTGACTTAAGCATCGGAGGCTCTTCATCGGGAAACTCCTCCGATATGAGATTTCTTTTCAGGTACTCGGCATTCTGCCGGCAAGGTGGAAGAAGGCAAACCAATTTCCAGTCGGTCGGAGTGTTTGACGTTACCATTTGGCGACGTCTGGGGATTTCTTTTGAAAAGTGGTGTGCCGAGATTATTTGAGCTTGTTGGTTATGGTGGACAAAATTTATGCTACCAAAAGTTTGGGATGTATTTGTGTGAGATTTCTACATTTTTTAAGATTTTGGAAATCATGTATTTACATTAAAGTTTGCAAGACTGTTTAAAAGTTGTAAAATTATCGAGTATTCATTTGAAATTTCAACTTATTTGAAATTGAGATCGGTTCGCACTTATTAAAATTAACTAAGATTTAAAATGAAAAACATATAAGAAATCTTACAATCAATCTCACCTCCAAACTTAAAATTACGTAGAATTCCTAATAATGAGATTTAAAATGAAAAACATATACGAAATCTTACTATCAATCTCACCTCCAAACTTAAAATTACATAGAATTCCTAATTTTGAAAATTTTAAAGTCTCAAAATGTCACTCAAAATTAAGGCTAATATTTTTTTTATCGAAAATCGAAATTGAACCGATTCAGATCGACGAAAAAATAAACTGAACCGTACCGACTCGCTTGTAACGATAATCAATTACTGATTACCAAATCTATTGGTTCCAAACCCATGAGGGTTTTTATTTTTCTGGACCGAACCGATAAGGATTAGAAAGTAAAAATAACTAAAAACTCATTACTAAATGAATCCACTTAATGAATAGATAAAGAGAGAAGAGAACGGTCTTTGTTCCAACCCATGACTATGACTTGCTAACCGAACCAGTTTGAAGTCAATATGATCATGGCCTTGACTTCAACATGATCATGATCATGGCCACTTAAGCAAGGCCACTCAATATTTCATAGTGAAGTCAAGGCCACTCAAGGAGTCGACTCTCAGGGCGGTATTGTTCCCCACCTCCGTTCCTCAGTCCATCCTCCCTCAGCTATTGTTATTGACATTCACATGTTGTTGTTGTTGCTTTTTTTTTGTCTTATTTTTTTCTGTACAAAACAAAAACCGAACTCGGTTACTCACAAGTCGGTTTGATTTCAGTTTCACATTTTATTGATACTGAAATTATTGGTTAGGCATTGGTAAGGGCTTGTCGGTTTAGTTACCGAACCGATAGCAAGCCTACTCAGAATACTTAAAGGAACATACCCCAATTATTTTTTCCTCTTACAAGAAGGTGCATATACAAATTAAATCTGAACTCAACTTGTTTAACTGTCTAGTTGAACCGTACAGATGTACTTCGAATCGGTTTAAAATATATAAGATGATGTCAATTGTCTGACTGTATAGAACATGAATTTTTCACCCGTTAAGATAACAATATGGTAGGTTTACTTGTTGTATATAGAATGTTAGCTCCACTATGGGGTCAACTGTTAGCTCCATAGTAAAACCACCCCCACCAGTCCCCAAACAAAACCATAATCATAATAGAAAATCCATCAATAAAAGGCAAAAAAACTTAAAAATCCTGAACACATCCACATAAATCAGAAGTTGAATAATATGCCACACTTAGAGAAACAAAGTACCAGTCAAGCAAGCATCCAAATTCTGGAAAGGCGGTGAACTAGAATCCGGTAAGCCAACCAACAACCGCCCACAAGCAAATAAAGACATGGAGAAAGAAGCCCCTCCAAAAATAAAAAGAAAAATGGTAAAAACCGGATTCTTTTTCGCCACATTATCATCCAGCCAGTCAATCTCTAAACGGATGAATAAATCAGCTAAAATTAGCCCAACGAATCATTGTTTTCGGAGGGACACCTAATAAGCTCCAATATGTTGACAGCCTCCGCCATCTCCGGCCTGCTGGACGGCACCTGAGACGTACAAATCAATCCTAATTTGATGACCGGAATTGCCTCCTCCGGCGGAAACTTCCCTCCCAACCTAGGATCCACACACTCCTCCACCCTCCCTTCCTCCAGAGCCCCCCTAACCATGTCTGAGAGCAGCACCACATCATCTTCCATGTACTCAACCGGCCTACTACCTGTCACCATCTCAAGAACCAAGATCCCGTACCCATACACGTCACACTTGTCTGTTATCTTCACCGTCTTGCATGCAAACTCGGGGGCCATGTACCCCAGCGCGCTCTGAATCTTGCTGCTCAGCACATACCTGTCCAGCATCGGCAGGAGCTTGGCCAGCCCGTAGTCCGCCACCTTCGCCTCCCCTGAACTTTCATCAATCAACACGTTGCTGGATTTGATGTTGTAGTGGATGATGCCCATCCGGTGCAGGTGGGCCAGCCCACGGGCAGACCCAAGGATGGCTCCGAACCTCTCGTCCCAAGAGAGGGTCTTCCCCCCGCTCTCGTGGAGGCATTTGTAGAGGCTACCCCCAGAGACAAACTCATAGATTAAGAGCTGGAGGGAGGGGGTCCAGTAGTACCCCTCCAGGGCCACAAGGTTTTTGTGCCGGGCCCGTCCCAGCCTCCTCACCTCCTGCTCAAAGTTTTCCTCAGACTTGACGAGTCCCGACACCGCCAGCCTCTTCACTGCCACGCACCGCCCATCTCCAAGCGCACTCCGGTAGACAGCGCCAAACCCTCCCCGCCCGAGCTCGCGATCCTTACTCAGGAGCGCGTGACCAGCAGTGGCAAGCCCAGGCCCCTTGGAGAACATGACAAGCTTCCCCGACTCCTCACAGCTGGCACTGGACGGAGATCGGCTGAACCCCCCGTACCCTCCCTCACCAGAGAAGTCGATGGCAGCACGGGGCAGCGGGGTGGCGCCGCCTTGCACGCGGAGATTGAGGACAGTGACAGCGATGACGCCGACGACGATGGAGGCAGCGGCGCCAATGGCAATGAGGGCAGAGATGCTGAGGATTTTCTTGCCACGGGCAAAGGTGGGGGGAATATCACTGCTCGGATTGGCGGGGCCCGTGGAGTTGGGGTTGAGGACGATGGGCTTCGGGAGGACTTTGGGGCAGCTGGTGTTGGCGGCCGCTCCGCACAGAGAGGGGTTGCCGGAGATGGAGGAAGGGTCGATGGTGTTGAAGAAGAGGCTGGAGGGGAGCTCTCCCTGGAGCTGGTTGTGAGAGATGTCGAACAAGTGGAGTGCGCCGAGGTTGGCGAGGGCCTTCGGTAGAGACCCTGTCAGGTTGTTGAATGAGAGGTCGACAGTTTGAAGGTTGGCGAGGTTTGCAAATGACGGGGGGATCGGGCCCGTGATTAGGTTGTGAGCAAAAGACCTGTTGTCAAGTTGTTAGACGATAAGTGGTTGGATAGTATATCAATTATCAATTCTAAGCTGCACCCGAGGAATATGTTCTAGAGTATTCCAATACTTCAGTTAATAGCTTTAAGAAAATTAACAGGAAAACAATTGACAATACGATGAAGAAACACCTGGAATCAGCATAAGGCCGTAGTTGGAAGCATTATGCAACAAAAAATAACAACTATGATGCCCCAGAAGATTGAAACATCATGAAGCTCAGATATATTTTAAACATAATGAATATCAGATCACAGCATGCTTAAAAATAAAATATAGAATAAGAAACAAGAGACTGAATCCAAAATCTTACAAGGATATTAGCGATAGGTTTAGTCCGATCTCCCTTGGAATGACGCCCGTTAACTGATTCTTGCTCAAATCAAGATATTTTAAGCTCTTCAGCTGCCAGATAGCTTTAGGAATCCCGCCTGTGAACGAATTCCTTGCCATATTCAAGAACTGCAAGCTCTTGAAATCCCCAACAACAGATGGGATTTCACTCCACAGCTTATTTTGGGAAACATCCAAATACAAAAGCTGTTTGCGCGCAATTTCACTCGACGAAGCCAGAGCATTTGCAAAGCTCCCATTTAATCCGTTGTCTGAAAATACAACTTGCTGAAGACCCATTTTGAACACCCATGAAGGAAAATTGCCAGTCAAGGAATTGTGACTTACATCAAAAGTTAAAAGATTCTCACATTTGCTCAGAGAATCGGGCAAGCTTCCACTAAGGGCATTCTTGGATACATTTAAAAACTTCAAAGATCTCAGCTTTCCGAAAGAATCTGGAACTTGGCCGCTAAAGTTATTTTTGGAGAGATCGAGTGCCTCAAGGCTTCTCATTTCCCCTATCCATTTGGGCACATTTCCTGTAAAACCATTTCCACCTAAAACTAAGACTCTGCAGAAAGAAAGCTTCTGCAAATTGCTAGGAATCCCTCCAGAAAACGAATTGAAGCTCAAATCAATTGACCTCAACAACAAACAATTCCCGATTCCATCAGGCACCTTACCGCTAAGCCTATTGTTTCTCAAACTTAAAGCCCTCAAGTATTTCAAACTGTGAATGCCCTCAGGGATCTCGCCCTCCAGCATGTTGTCAGACAAATCGAGTGACCTGAGCCCAGATAATGACCAAAGACCCAAAGGCACAGACCCGGAAAATTGATTGCCCGAGAAATCGACAGAAACAAGAGACGAGCAATAGGCTAAAGTCACCGGAATAGGGCCCGATAGCTTGTTTCTGGCCAAGGAAATAGATCTCAAAGTCCCACATTGCTCGAACAGCTCATCTGGAATAGACCCGGAAAAGCCATTTTCACTCAAATCCAAAACCGTCAAATTAGAAAGCTCAGAAAAGTTGGGGCTCAAACTACCGGTAAAATTATTTCTCGAGAGGAGAAGTTTTGAAAGAAACTTCAGTTTTAGGAGCCCTCTGCCTAATTTTCCAGAGAGGCCAAAGTCTGTGAGATTGAGTTGAGAGACTCTACTGGATTTACTGTTACAGGTTACCCCAGTCCAATAACACGCGCTGGCGTCATCTTCGATCCAAGAACGTAATTTGTCAGCGGGATCTTTAATATCAGACTTGAAGACAATCAAGCCCAGAACATCGTCGCTCAAAGAAGGGCTAAATGTGTCGGCAAATAATGGAGAGAAACGAATCAAAAATAAAAGACCAAGTAGAAGGCTTCTCATTTTCATTTTTTCTTCAATTGTCTGTAAATGCAACTGCTCAACACATTGTTTGGTTACAGAGCAAGCGTATGCACAAACGAAGATGAATGGGTTCAAGAACTTAGACTCGCAAGCAACGGCTAGAAACTCATACCACGACAACCCAGAACAAAGATTTATGTACTAAATAATAAATAAGATAGCCGCATTGCCCAAAAGAAAACAGAGAGGTGCTTAGCTTAACTTTGATCTGAGAGGAAATGAAAAACAATTCTTGGGCTAGTCGCCGTAGCCCTAGAAGAGCGTTAAAAGCAAATCTCGCCGACAAATGCGGGAAGAGAAATCAGAGTTTTGTTTCTCTCTCTAGAAAAGGTTTCAGTTCAATGTCTCTCTCTCTCTCTACAACCTTTTGTCTAGTGGAGCATTTATGTATGAATATTGAATAGAAGAGAAGGCTGTTGGGATCGCTTTTATTAGGTTGGACACGTGGCATATTTTTGTCGGTTCCTCGTCAATCCTATGTGGATGACACCTGGTCATGAGACAATGCAATTGTGGGACTCAATAAGGTCAACTTTTGTCTAATTATAAATACTGGTCTTCTTGTCTGTACAAATGCAAGAAAATATAATTTATTTAAATAAAAGTATACTAGTACAACACTCGTGTAAATACACGGGTCTTGTTAAAAAATTTATCTTACATTTTAAAATTAATGAGAAAATTATATTGAAATTAGTTTACTTTTTTACAAAAAAAATTATATTACTATATATTTTAGAATGATATGTGTTACTTATGACTTACATGTGTTATATTATATTTGTTTTTATAACTTATATCATTATCATATAACTACTTGAAATATAAATATATTAGTTGATAAATAATTTTATTTTTCTAATTAATATTAAAAATAATTTTATTATTGTTATAAAGATAAATATAAATTATCTTTTTTATACATACAATATGGATGTTAAATCGAAGCTCATAAAAAGAAGATTAATTTGATATATTACATATGTAAAACTGATTAAAAATACAAAAGTTATTAACTTTTAAAATATATATACAATTCAATAGTTATAATAAGGAATGATATTAAAATGCAATTAATACATGTAACATGACCATAAATAATCAACATATTTATGGTAATCCAAACTGATATGGGATATTGTATACTAGACCGGTTCGCCCGGACGACCGGAGAAAATAGGTCGGACCGTTGGATTACCTGAGTTAGGAGAGATCGAGTAACCTGGTCAAGAAGGACCAAGCACTAGCAACAAAGGAGCAGAGAGCAGACAGAAAAGATTAAACGTGGTCGACAGATGCGGACCACCACGAGTGGTCGAATAAGGCGTGATCGCAAAAGATTGGTCGAATATCAAAGGGGCATGAGGGAATCTTCAGCACGTGAAAGGAAGGACGCGTGGCGCACTGTGAGTGGCTACGTAGCTGCAACGAACTCTGACATTCTCTGACAAAGAGGACGCGGCTCCTGACACTAAAGATAGTGGAGGCGCGCGGCCGTACGGACGAGCAGGAGGCAGTTGGCCGGACTCGCCTTGCTCGCGCGTGCAGCTCAGGTAACTCGCCCTTATAAATAAGGGCGAAAATCCTCATTTTCAGTAAGATCTAATACATTCTGGTACTTTTTCATACACTCATATTATCTCTCAAGATTTGACTTGAGCGTTGGAGGCTCTTCACCGGAAAACACCTCCGGTGTGGGAGTTTCGTGCAGGTTCCGCGTTCAATCGACGAGGAGAGCAAGCTTAGGGCGAACTCCAGTTGGTCAGGGTGCGAGACTTGTATTATTGGCGCCGTCTGTGGGACTCTTGTTCGAAAAGTTGTGTTCTGAGCTCAGCTATAGCGGACGGAGTTCCTCGAGTGAATTTGCAGTCTTCATTTGATGAGGCGTGGACGACGACAAGACCGATGGGATCAGGACCTCCACCCGGATTCTCTGGACCCTCGCAAACACCGGTGACCCGACGCCGATGCCCCAGGGTACAGCGATCTTGGGTGGAGGAGCAGGCACGAGCAGAGAGCACGAAACTCGTGAGGTGGTATCAGCGACAGTCCTCACTCTGTTGCAAGCGGGTCCAGTCGTGACGCAGCAGGTAGGGCCAACAGCGCAGGCCATGATGCCGCCAACAGGAGGAACACCCCAACCCCCTACTCAGCAAGTAGTGGCCATGACGAGAGAAGAAGTGCAGAGGATGGTGGCCGATGCGGCAGCACAGGCTGTGCAACAAGCCACTCACCAGACATCCCAGGCTGCTACCGCGCCGACAACGGTGCAGGGAACTCAAGAGGAGGACGTGTCGAGTTACGGCGGAGGAGGAGAGTACAGAGATAGAGCGATGGAGAGGATGGCCGAACAGCTTAGGCAGTTGCAGGAGAAGGTGGAAGGGAGGCCGGAAAGACGTGCTCGAGGACACCCATTCTCGAGGGAAATCTTGGCTGCGCCGTTACCTGCGAGTTTCCGGGAGATAAACCTGATTTTTGATGGATCGAGCGACCCATCGAGGCACGTGAGAGCATTCGAAAACATGTTCGTCTTACACGGGTACTCAGATCCGGTCAGCTGCAGGGCCTTCCTGTCGACCTTACGGGGAGGCGCGCTCGACTGGTTCCATCAATTAGCTCCAGGTTTGATCAGAGACTTTGAGGATTTCTCAGGACAACTTACTAATCAATACTCAAGTGCGGTCGCCCAGGAGAAGACATATCTTACACTGATGGCAATGAGACAAGGCGAGAAAGAATCCTTACGGAAATATGTTGCTCGATATAATCAGGTGTGTCTGGAGGTGCCCACGGCGGGTGACGAGGTAAAAGCAGGAGGATTGATTAGAAGTCTACGGCCAGGACCATGTCGAACGTCGCTGGCAAAGACGCCTGCTCGAACTTACGATGAGGTGCTCAAAAGATTCAAGAAGTACATTAACTTGGAAGAAACGAAAGCAGAGTTTGCCAAGCTCGAGGACGTTGTGAAGCCTGAGCAAAAAAAATGAAAGACGAGCTCGCCCAGAAGGGGATCACCTAGGAAAAATTCCCCAAGAGGAGGATCTTTTAAGAGGCTGTCGCCCAGGAGGGATGGGCGAAATTCATTCCGAGAAAAGAGAGAAGATCGCTGGCAAGGGCGACCCCGACTACCAAACGGCCAACGATATAATCATTTTACTCCTATCAACGCCCAGATGGGCGAAGTCTTGGCGGCCATAGAGGAGAAGTTGGAAAGCAAGGAAGTCACATGGCCAGCGACCAGGTTCGATGGACCGACCAAACCTAGGTCGAATAAATATTGCAGATTTCATAGGGATTATGGACATAATACGGAAGACTGTAGGCACTTGAAGGACGAGATCGAGCGTCTCATACGGGCAGGACACCTAAAAGAATTTGTCATTCGCGATCGACCACGGGGTAAAGAAAGGAGAAGGTGCAGGGAAGATTCTATGGCGAGGAGTGATAGGGATGACGATGGAGAAGACGATGCTAGAAAAGAAAGAAGGAGACGACAAAACGATGGTCGAGAGGAGCTGAGGGAGGAAGTGCCTGTGAAGAGGGGCACGATTTACATGATCTCAGGGGGACCAACGGATGGGGATTCAAATAATGCACGAAAGGGGCATGTGCGGGCGGTGAAGCATAAAAGAGAGGAGGTTGGGATAACTAGTCGAATGCCTGTGATTAGCTTTCGAGCAGAAGATGCGGAAGGAATCTTGTTACCCCATAACGACGCACTGGTCATCACAGCCGAAGTGGCAGGTTTCGATGTGAAAAGAGAGTTCATCGACACGGGGAGCTCAGTCGACGTGATGTTTTACGATTGTTTTGCCCAGATCAACAAGCACCTGAATCTGGAGTTGAAACTAGTGGCGACAGCTTTATACGGATTTAACGGTGGAGAGGTAATGCCAATGGGCGAAGTGAGCCTGACCGTAGCATTGGGGTCGGGCGACTCGAGGAAAGTAAGAATGATCCGGTTTGTGGTGGTCGGAGCAGAATCGTCTTACAATATCATTTTTAGGGCGGACGGGTTTGAATGCGTTCCAAGCGGTCGTGTATACTTACCACATGACGATCAAATATCCTGTGGGGGAAAATGTAGGCGAGATTGCGGGGGACCAGCTCACGTCGAGGAGTTGCTATCAAACCACAGTCAGTAACAACAAACAGATGGCGGAAAGGCAGTTGAAAGGCAAGGAAGTGAGGCCTGATCGACCGGGAGGATCACGAGCGAAAGAAGAGAGAGGAGGACAAGACAAGGGAAAGGAGAAGATAGACATACAACCCGGTGAAGAGATCGAGGAGATTCAAATGGTGCAGGGATGCGATGACCGAAAATTCAGGATTGGGAAAGATTTGGGAGAGCCGATCAGGTCGAAGTTGATCAATTTAATAAGGGAATTTACGGACATTTTTGCGTATACAACGGATGAACTAACGGGGATCGAGGCCAGGGTGATCGAGCACAGACTTAATATTGATTTCAGTGTGAGGCCGGTAAAGCAAAAGAGGAGGCATCATGGTGCGGAAATGGACAAAATCATCGAGCAGGAGGTCGACAAGCTGATGAACGCTGGGCACATTAAAAAGATTCAATTCCCTGAGTGGTTATCTAACACTGTAATGGTGTCCAAATCGGGAGGAAAGTGGAGGATGTGCATTGATTTCCGTGATCTAAATAAGGCTTGCCCGAAAGATCTATACCCGCTGCCAAGGATCGACCAGCTGGTAGACTCCACGGCGGGGTGCGAATTGCTAAGCTTGATGGACGCCTCGCAGGGGTATCATCAGATCCCCTTAGCGAAAGAAGATTGGAAGAGAGTGAGCTTCATAACAAGCTAAGGCACCTATTGTTATGTAGTCATGCCGTTTGGATTAAAGAATGCTGGGGCCACTTATCAGCGGTTGGTCGACCAAATTTTCAAAGATCAGTTGGGGAGGAATATGGAGGTGTACGTCGATGACATGCTGGTAAAGAGTAAGGTGGAGGCGGACCACGT